AATATGTAAAAATATCTTGATATTAAATTGTAATAATACAAAATATTATCAATAAAAAACTGAGATCAGGTCTCACTTTTTTAAAAAAAAAAAAAAAAAAAAAAAAAGTAAATCGCAGATATATATTAATATAAATTGTTATCTGTTGATATTGGGTAAATTGCTTGTAAGAGAAATGACTAGCAGGATAATGAAAGTAAAGAATACTGATACTGATATCTGAATAAAATTTTTCATTTCACAACTTATCGAATGAAAATCTTTTTTCTTTCAAATATTGTAATTGCTCAGCACAATCTTTGTTATTTTCCAACTTATCTTTGAGCTGCTTTTTCATCTCTTCGTCGCTTATTTGCTATACTTATGAAATAATTCGGATAAAAGTTGTCTAATTGCTTCCTAAAGAATATGCGACAAATAAACATAAATATTAACATAATACAAAAAAGTAAATCTATTAATTAGTTTAATAAAAATCTACGTGAAACAAATAATCTGCTGTTTTCTTTGATGCCTTTTCTCCTTTACTTTTAATCTCAACAGAATTATATATTTCCCTAGTGTCATCCAACTTTTTAAGGATATTTTCAAGCTGTAATCATTGTTCGTTTATAAGATATTCGAGTTTCGCATAGCCTCTAAAAAGATGCTTAAGTTGTAATTTATACTTTGTCTAATGTGTAAGATTTTCGTCAACGTGCGTAAATCAGTAATAGGTTGTTTTATTAAATAATGTATAATTAACTTATATATTAAAAAAATAAAATAAAAATGAATTAAATAAATATTAATCTAGGTTTTTATCATTTAGAGAAGTTATGGAAGAGATAACAACTCGGGGTTGAGACTAAATTATAATATACGTGTTAAAATTTTAAAATATACAGTAAAAAAAAAAAATAAAAAAAAAAACTTACAAAGCCTACTTGTATACATGTTGGCAAAATCCCAAACTATTATAGTTTGGGATTGGGCGTCCCAAATCCCAAACTCTGGCCAAACTCAT